ATATTAATTTATAACTATATAAAAGTTCGTAACAGTAGGTACCTACTTATACTTAAATATGCCTCAGTACTACAAAGAATAAATGTTACATACCTCTCTGTTTTTTTCCTCGTAATTCAGCACCAATAAATTGGGAATTTGTATTTATAAAAGCAGCCAACTTAAAAGCATCGACTTTTGGCAAGTTATCTGATTGTGCTTTTACAAAGTTGGAATCTACCATTACTTAAAAAATTCTCAGAACACACAACACATACAAATAATAACTGCACAAAAAAAGCATAAAAAGCTCCTTCAATCAACGCTAAAAGCAACAAAAATGTCTTAGTACGCCACCTACATACGTACATAAACGGAACACGTCTGGCTGCTGTTGGCCATCGCGCGTCGACGAGAACGGCGGGTGACGTCAGACCAATAGAATATCGTTTCAATTCGCGAGGCGTCATTTGCGTTATCCATAGTATTTTAATGGCCCGTTTTATAAAATTGTGGTACTGCTTTCAAGAAAAAAGTTTTTTTTTGCATTTACACATATTTATTCTAATAAATTGAACAGTTTCTGGCGAAAAATAAAATATATGCATCTTCCTCATACTAATTTAGTGTGAATCCATTAGACCGCTAAACGCAGGGATTTATTTTAAAATTGATGTATAAGTGACAAATATTCGCTGTTCGAATACATATAATTTCCAAAGTCTAGTGCAGAACTAGGTTCTTCTTATATAGAGACTATATCTTCATTCCTGAGAATCTTTAATCGTTGTCAGAAAATATGTTGTTTTATATTTTTTTGCATGTTTCCAAATTCCTACCGACATTTTGATCTGCAGTAAGTACTTTACACTTTGACAGTAGATACTACATACTAATTTCATTCTCGACTTAAGACTATTTCCGAACAATAATGTATTTTATTAGGAGTAAAAATTTTTCTTTTTTTGACGATGCTGTACCTTTGATCCTTTGAAGGACCATCGTAATGCTATTCCATCGTTACAGGGAGGCACAAAAAGTACATTTTACTCCGAATAGAACATACTATTTCTTTTAAAACATTAGAAATATTTTTTTAATCAATTTCAAACATTGCAAATAATATAAACAGTAATCGAGTAACAATTTGTACACTCGTTGAATTTGACACTTAATATCAGTTTAATAATATATTTTTGCACTTTTGCGCCTAGGCTTAACAGTGCTTTACTTTTATACCTAGGCGTTAAAATGACAAAAATTAATACTTCTGAGACGTTTGGGAAAAAAGCCTTTTGATCTAAAGCGAGCGACTTTTTTTGCGGAATATATTGGTGACCGACATGGGCGCCGGACAGGGGGGGCAAGAGGGGGCATTTGCCCCCCCCTGGATCACTGAAACAATAAAAATAAAAGCTATCTTCTTACATCCATCTGTAAAAAAAATAATCATTATTATGAAATTGTTAGGTGTTACCTGTAAAATAATAAAAAATGTGGTAATTATTGGGAAAACTGGAAATCGTCCGATTTTCACCAAAATTGGTATACACACTATTTTGAAGTCGTAGATTACGAATCTATTTTTTTCTTGGCGGTCTCTTACCGTTTTTCAGAAAAACGGAAAATTATTTCAACATTGATTTTTTCTTTATTTCGGCCCTATAAAGTAATAATTTCACTATATTTTCATTTTGTTATAGTTTATCTAAAAGCCACACTTGATTCAAACAAAAGATTAACACCCTCTGCATGGAAGTTGTAACCAATGCAATCAAAACTCTTTCGTGCAAATTCGTGGGTATAAATAGTCAGATCTCGTTGGTAAAATAGCAGTTATGGGAAGGAGCCGTTCTTCTGGCGACCGCCTTTCGTAATTCCAGAATGAGCGAAAAAAACACGCTAAATTTAGGTTTAGCATTGGCAACGTTGCTTTAAATGCCAGAAACACATAAACTTACTTCGGGTTTCTCTTATTACCGATTCTGAACCGTCCTAGAACTGTGATGCGTATGCGCAGAAGGAAATATGAAGACATTATTTCATTTGCTCATGCGCTGCAGAGTTCTTGGACGGTTCAGAATCGATAATGACAAGAACCCGAACAAAGCTATAATCTAACATTTTCAGATTGTTTACAAATTTATTTTAGCAAATTTTCCTCTAGTATGTACAGAATTGGTTAAAAAAGTAACAGAAAATAGCAAAAACATTATTGATTATTGAATACCTAACAAAATATGTGCTAGAAAACCTTAAAAATATGAGAAATTAAGAAAAATTCGATATTGAAATTATTTTGCGTTTTTCTGAAAATCGGTAAGAGACCGCCAAGAAAAAAGTTCAGATTCGTAATCTACGACTTCAAAATAGGGTGTATACCAATTTTGGTGAAAATCGGACGATTTCCAGTTTTCCCAATAATTACCAAAAATGTCAATTTTTTATTCATTTTTACCTTGCCCCCCCCTAAATTTCATTCTTCCGGCGCCCATGGTGACCGATGTGGAAAACATGCCGTATGCGCATGACAACGCGCCGTAGAATTGTTAATTAGCCATTTAGGATAGGTCTTTAATTAGAAATAAGTCCTAGTCATTTGGAAATCCGATTTAAATATTGTTTTGAATTAAAATCAAAAAAATCTGTTTTTTTTTTGATTTTTTTTTTAAATCATGATTTTTTCCAACCCTGGTTCTGATAATGCAATAATTTGCCAAAACTTATAAAATTGTCAGTTTGTTTGTGTCACATTATTTGACAATGTTTTAATTGTTGTTATTAAGGAAGGAGCATATATTAAAAATCTTAGATTGACGCATAGATAAATGCAACAAGTTTAGATTGGAAAGCCCGTACAAATTTTAGGTCGCGAAATTATTTTGTCGCGACCGTTATACGCGATCTGGCGCTGCTATAGCGGTCGCTATAAAGTCACTAGATATATATATATATATATATATATATATATATATATATATATATATATATATATATATATATATATATATATATATATATATATATATATATATATATATATATATATATATATATATAGGGACTTTAGGTCGCTAAGAACAACGGCAAACAAAAACAGTAACAAATAATTTTCTCTTGTCAAAGTCAGAATCTTCAAAAATCATAATAATCTTTCAAAATCTAAACCGCTGCCATTAAACAAATTCCGAAAAGTGTTTATAGCGTCCATTTTCAAAGTAATTATTGCTATCTTGTGAGTTTAATTCAAGTTTTATTTACTCCAACCGGTGATAATTGTGAAAAAGTGGCATTAAAAACTTAAAAAGCTGTGCTGTGAACTGTGAACTGCAAAAACCATCGTGGATCGTGGCATAACGTCGGTTTCCAATGTTTCATAGGTATTTCATACATGCGTCCTTATATAAAATAAAGTTTCTTGTATGCAGCACACTGTATTTTATTTATACAATTAAACGAAAATAATAATAAATTTGAATAAACAATATTTGGCGATATAATTCCGGAAAAAGCCGAACCGCTCCGAAATTTTCTAAAGTTTTGGGTCGCGACCGTTCCAAGAATAGCGCCAAATAGTGTTTACATTGTCCTTATGGGCACTTTCCAATCTAAACTTGTTTCATTTATCAATGGGTTGACGGCGACGGGGTCCTGAGATGGCTGACTGAGATTCCGGTTTATCAGGGCCGTTCTAATTTTATTCAAAACGTGTAAAAATGATGTAGACTCAATAATTTGTTGTTTTATTTTACGTTAATAAAAAAAATACTAAAAAAAATGACTTAAACAACTATCAGTAGTCGAATAAATGATAAATAACATAAAATAAGCTCAGTAAAGACTGAGAAATCCACAAAATTTCAAATTTAATTCAAATGTGTCAAATAAATCGTCAAACAGAACTGTCAATGATCCCCACCCTAGGGCCCTTTATCCGTCTACCTTGCATCTGTGCTTGCATGAATACATTATACTCCTTTCTTAATCTTTTTATTCAAAGTTATTAGTGAACTTGTTAGCCAATAATAGCAACACAGAAGTTTTAAAACTGTTATAAAATACACAAACTAATGTTAATTTCTATAAATATAATTTTCAATGTATATAAATAAAAGCTTTCTTAGAACTGGTCTTTAATTAATAATAATTGTATATTTTTCTTATTGCATTACAAAATAGGTATATTAAACAGTCTAAAATTTCTGGGTAGGTAATATATTTGCTTCTGTATTATTTACCATATATTGGTTTTACAAATAACGTCCAATATTTTATTAAGAAATAGTTTAATTTAAAACCTTGACACACTCTGTATATATTCCGATTTTAAGCAATAACATTTAAAACAAATTTATACTTCAAAGCAAGTACCACTGCAGTTAAAGAAATAATTTGTTGCAATAAATAAATCCTTTTTCTTGTTATTTATGACTTTATTTTGCTACTATATTCCAGATTTTGTGGCTAAACAAATTGTTGTGCTAGGTAATGTAAAGGAGTGTGTGGAAAATATTTTTTTAAACAATTATTAAAAGCATCTAAGCATATCAAAGTTTGGTGGCCACATAACCTTTTATATAAAGTTATATTAGGATTGTTTTAAATAAATATTTTTACCACACTATATGGAACTGAGAAGATTTAAAAAAAAATGTAGGTATATTGTTCATTGTTGCTGTAAAGTATTCTCTATGTAATTATTTGAAAATTTGATATCCCTTAGCCTAAATGTAATAAATCATTGGTTTAAATAATAAACATGATGCATATTTTTAGTTTGGTATGTTCCCTGAATATTTTTTAGGTTTTAAAACACTATCCTCTAAATAGCTTACAGCTTATTTAAGTTATATTCAAACCAACTGATTTTAGATAGAAGCAATCAGATTGCCACTAATATGTAAAAACTCATAGAAAAACTTGTATAAACGTTATAAATTATTTACAGATTTCTAATAAAATTAACCATTTTTACTTATTATTATTTCGTTTTTTATTTTATACACACAAATAAAACCAAGTTAAGTTAATATTAATTTTTATTTCTTTAACTAAAACTATTTTTATGTACATTATTATTTCGAATACCCTGTTTTCGTTTTCCTATTCATAAACCTATAGAGATACTGAATGCGTTTCTCGAGCTGATACCATTTTGTCGGTCTAGCCGTAGGATAAATTGTTTTTCCCAACATTTTCCTTTTCCGAATCATCACTTGCATTTCGTTACCGCCAACGCCTCTCAGCCATGGTGGCATATTGTAGAGGATTTTAGTAGGATGTAGTTTTTCATTACCTACAAATGCACATAGGTAAGTTTAAAATACTTATTGTATTTGTTAAAATACTATTATTACCTAAGATATCGATATAATCATTTTGACCAAACAGTGCTCGTTTTTCGCTCCAGGCATCCTTAGGCCTGTAAATAGGCATCGGTAGCTTTTTCGCATCTTCTAATCTGGGCAGTAATCCTTTACGATCTACGTCTTCCTTGTATCCATACCTTCTTACGAGTCGTCCCCGTGCGACTTTTTCGGAATGATATCTGAAACGTACGGGTATCACGTTTGGCGTCCAAATTTTAATTGTGTTTAGACAAGTTTTAACTAAATTTGTTGTTAATGACATGATTTTATACTATTTTAAGAAGGTTTTCCTAAAAATATTTATTTCATATTTATTTTTAAACGTAATAAAGTGAGGTTAGAGCCGGATGTCAAAATTCTGTCAAAGTCAAATCCACAGATCAAATATGACTTTAAGCTAGTGATGGGCTAATATGAGTAAAGTTCGACATTTTAAAATTTGAACGTAAAAGAGCGTTCAAAAAATATAATTTGTTTATTTTTTAAGTACCCCGATAACGATGCACTACAGGTTTGTTTCTACCAAGTTTTGTAATTTAACAATGAATAGTTTTTTATCATTAAGAATTTATAGGTAATTTATATTTAATATTTAATTTTTTCTGAAAAATATTTTATGAATGAAGATTGTTTACAGATAAATACACATTAGACGAGAAATATGTATAATTTCAAGTCATTTCCCTCTTGAAAATTTAAAATTAACCAATTGACATCAAGAGTTTTGTAAAAGAGCAGGCACTTATCTTATTGTGACTACCTACTTATTTAATAATACAAAGAAATTCATATAGCAACAAAAAAAAACATAAATATGTAATTTTTCCACTTTCTGGCATTTCGTTTTTTATGAAATATTTTAGATTAGAATGACAAAATTTTTGCTATTAATAAATTAATTAAAGTACATATTTATTCGTCTTGAATATGTTTTGGAAAAACAAATTATATTACATTAACATATTATTTGAATTCCATGTCTTTGTAATATGAAACTCCATTTTAGCAGTACACAGCAATAACAGAGGCAAACTTATCTAAAGTTGTCTAAAGCAGGATTCGGTATTACCCAGAATTCTAATTTCTAATTAAAAGAAAATTTTTAAATTGAATCTACAAATAATATCAAATTAGCAACTTCTTGTTCAAAAAACAATCGAGTCAGCCTTGACTCGTTTTATTGTTTTGTTGGGCATGTCAATTGTGTCATTGAAAACAATTTCTAAATGCAGTTTGAGAAAGATTTTGAATTTTAATATCATGAAAGAGGTGCTTTATTATTTTTAATGTATTTGGAGATGATTTGGAGTGTTAAGAGGCAGACATAGGGCGATAGAATTGGATATGGAAATGCAGTTATTGTAAAGTGTTACCACTTGTTTTCGTCAATGTTGGCCTAAAAAACAACAAACAGGTAAATATTTGTTTTATTTTAATTATCTTAACCCATCCTTTGACATTTTTTAACAAAGTTCTCATCATATATTGTGTAGTCACCAGATATACCGTATGATAAAAAAAAAAACGGTGTCCAGTTGGCTTGGAAGTAAACATCGGTGACATTCCTCATATCATTGATTAATCCCCTGGCGTACCCTGGCGCCGTTTTTCCTTCGGTTATATTGTGGCTGTCCTAAGGAAAAAAATTGCTTTGCTATACCCAAAGACATGCTATACCCTTAGCCCACGGCCACACAGAAAGCGTTTTTTGCGTTTTTAGCGTGAAGCGTCTTTAGTGACTAAAACAAAATAACAGGATTATATAGGAGTGGCCACACCAAAAGCGTGTAGCGTTCGGCGTGTCTCGCAAAAAACGCAAATGAAAACAAATCAGTTTGTTTTCTGTAGCGTCTTTAGCGTTTTTTACGATGAGACCCCGTCATAGGCGGACGTTATATTTAATAATACAATAAAAATAAATTAAATAGTATGCATTTTTTTTCATTTTAGGGTATTATCTAAAAATATTTTTAAAAAGAACATCGACTCTTTAGGTAGATTCTATTAAATTCAAAAATTTGAAGGAAATGTTTGGAAAAGTGTAGTTTGAAATGTTGAAAAAGTAATAAATTAAAGGAATATTTTCTTACGCGTAAAAAATAGTTTTTTTATGCGTAAAAAGTGTCTTTTTCTGCGTAAAAAAGTTTTTTTAGCAGAAACAAGTAGTTTTTGACGCTTAAAAAATAGTTTTTTACGTGTAACAAATAGTTTTTTTACACTTAAAAAATATTTTTTTGGGTAAAAAAGTTTTTTTACCAGAAACAATAAGTTTTTGACGCGTAACAAATAGTTTTTTTACACGTAAAAAATATATTTTTTTTTGGGGTAAAAAAGTTTTTTTACCAGAAACAATAAGTTTTTGACGCGTAAAAAATATTTTTTTCGTGTAACAAATAGTTTTTTTACACGTAAAAATATTTTTTTTGTGCAAGAAAGGTTTTCTACCAGAAACAATAAGTTTTTGACGCGTATATAATAGTTTTTTTACCCATAAAAAAATATTTTTTTTTGCTTAACAAAAGGTTTTTTACTAGAAACAATAAGTTTTTGACGCGTAAAAAAATAGTTTTTTACGTGTAACAAATAGATTTTTACACGTAACAAATAGTTTTATACGCGTGAAAAACAGTTTTCTACCAGTAACAAATAGCTTTATACGCGTAAAAAATAGTTTTCTACCAGTAACAAATAGTTTTATTCGCGTAAAAAATAAAAAATAGTTTTTTACGTGTAACAGTTTTATTCGCGTAAAATAATAAAAATAGTTTTTTACGTGTAAGAAATATTTTTTTACACGTAATAATTTGATTCACTTTTACAAAACTTGTATTAAAATATCAATATTTTTGATAAACAGGTGGAGTGCTCACAAATACACACGTCGCGTCACTGCGTATTTCTAAGCCGTTAACACGTTTCGTTACAACTTACAACCAGCTCGTGTATCAGGGCCGTCTCAATAGGTCGTATGCTACGGCCTTCAATTTTTATTCCCAGCGCGCGTAAAGAAGTTCACTCCAAAATGTTTCTAAATCATGTCCTAAAATTGCATTAGCAACTAGAAATATTTACTATTCTATTATATAATTATAATTACTTATTATATTATATTATAATTATAACAAGTACTAATCACAACACTACAACATAAAAAAACTATACACATATAAACTAAAATTCGTAAAATAAATGGCAAATAATAGTTATTAATTTTACACATACCACTGGCACTAGCAGTAGATTATTGTGTTTGTCTCCGAATATATGCCCCGGCCCGTCCACAATTCAATCCCAGCATGTTTCATCTTCGTCTCTTCAACGCTAACGGCGCCGATCTCGCCTATCTCTTTCTCACAGGATTGATTGTTGGACGGGCCGGGAATCCACGAGCTTGTGACGTTACTAATTGACATCTTGATAGAAACTGCAGACCTGCCGCGTCTTTTGCGTGTTTTTAATGGACACAAATCGAAAAAACCGCTTAAAACGGTAAAATCGCAAAAAGCGCTTGAGACGCAAAAAACGCAAAACGCTAAAAACGCTTTCTGTGTGGCCGTGGGCTTAGATTAAGAATAAGTTATACCGATCACATTTAAGATTTAAACCCTCTACATGAATTTTCGACAGTTATAGGGAACATTAATTTAGAAAATTTATATAGGGTGTCCCAATATTCTGTTTATTTTAAAATAATAAAAATAAATGGTAAAGGTGTGGATCCGGTGGCTGACCTTGAAGCCTATATTTGCTGCATTTGATCATCGATACTACGCAAGCGCACATCGTCGATGTTGCCAAATTGCAGTTTATTTTCGAATTATTTGCAGTTGAAAAATTTTTTTGCGTGTTAATCAATAATAATATGAATTCTATAATTAATTTTATAATTTCAGATTTATCTTGATATCCAAAATTAAGGTAAGAAGGATAATGAAGATTGTGAAATGAAAGTATTATGAATATATAAAATTGTAATAATAATAACATTTATTTATATATTTACATTAGAATTAAAATTTATCATTTACGGATTTTTGCTTAATGGTTTTAAACTTATTAGAATTATTTTATTTCTTTCAAGTTATTTAATTTCTAGTTATTTACAGGCAACAATAGTTTTGATTATATGTATTGATGTTTTGAGGTACTAGTGGTACTACCATGACGAGTCTTATTATAGACAGTTATAGAACAATACACGCGCGTCAATCGGAAATAGAGGTAACATTTTACCTATAATGTTACTAATATAATATACTTTGATTATAATTAATGTTTGTATCATAATTTCTTAAAAATATCAAGTTAGTGGATTAATAGCAATTTTAGACATATATTTTATCGAAGAGTGTGTTGATAAGACTAAAATAAGCTTTATGTTTTATCTTTTTTTTTAGAAGGGAGATGGTTTGTATCGTAGAATACATTACAGTATTTAATATCGTGTACTTTGATATTCTTTTCTTAATTTACTGTAATTTCTTGTTTCCTATAATGCCAAATCTTGACAATATGGTGAAGGTTGATTTTTGATCTTATTAGTTTTATAAGAATAATAATAATAATAGAAATACAAGACTAAATTAAGACTTAGTTTGTGATTTATATTAAGATCTTTCTTATAATATTTGTTATGTCTTAATCTTAATACTATATTATGCTTGGTCTGGAAAATAAATGTTAAAATATCTTAATTTTGCATATCCTATTCCATCCTTCCATTAGGAAAAATATGGTTTATAAATCATATATGCTAAGAAAATCACATAAATTAGGTGTAAGAATAGAGAAATCTTAATGTAGCAGAAAAATTAATGCAATATATGTATAAGCAGAATTAAACAAGGTCACTGATGTTAATGTTGCTGAAGGCTGATTCTACAATTTTAATTACGGAGGCTAAAAGGCCTTTTAAGGCCTCCGTAGTTTTGATGGAATGTTAAAAAACTATTATGAACATGACATGGAGCTACAGCATTTAAAAATTAAAAGAAAAAACTTGGACACATCATTTTTAATTTCCCGAATTTTTAATAAAGCACTTTTTAAACGTAGCATAATAATCTAGATAGGAATCTAGAGTTTTATTTCTATATAATTTTATTGACTACATAATAAGCGTTCACGTGTTGTACGAAATATTAAAATAATAATATAAATAATATACCGCGTACTATGATTGAAAAAAAAATAGCGTCAGCGATGACTATGAAATGAAAATCGCTGTCATTTTATATGGGAAATGTCCTTAGTCGTCATTTCCCAGCCAACTGAACGCCGTTTTTTCAATCTTATGGTATATATTGACAAAAAACACTGAAAAGCACATATTTGTTTTCTACTGAAAATAATTCCAAAATT